CACAAACAATTTGGTACCATTTTAAATCCAAAATATATGTAATGTTGATAAACAAAACTATCTCTTATATCAGTGTGTACAAACAAAATTTTTCAAAAAAATACGTAGTACTACCTTTTTCTTGTTAATATGTGGGGTGTAGCTTTGTAATTACTCCCTTCATTTAAAAAAAAAGGTTGAGATGCTAATGAACAAATTATGATGATAACATTCTTTGACATTGAAAACTTTGGTTTTAATCTCTAATTTAACCTTTTTCTGGTATCCTGATGATAATACATTTCACTCTTTTGAGAGTAATCTAACAAATCAATAGGTTAAAGTTTTTATGATTATTTGCTCAATCAAATTCGCTCTAGAAAGGACCTAATATATGGACTTTAGAAATGTTGCTCACTCTCAATGAAAGGTGGGTGTGTTATCAGCATATTGTAAGGTCGTACCTTTTTTTGCAGAAAGGTCATATTCTTAGAATCCAATTTTTATCTAAAATGTGATTTAGTGTAGAAAGTATGATCCGAGATAAATATCACTTACACTTCGATAAACGGATAAAGTTTTAATCCACATGATGAATTAAAAATGGGGATAAGAAAATATGCCTTCTTAAGTAGCACTTCTAAAATCCACTACTCCGCTAGGTTCTAAATAGATACAACTACTTCTATAATTGTCTCACTCAGTAGAATAAATAAATAAATAAATAAAATAAATAAATAAATAAATAAATAAATAAATAAATAAATGAATGAATGAATGAATGAATGAATGAATGAATGAATGAATGAATGAATGAATGAATGAATGAATGAATGAATGAATGAATGAATGAATGAATGAATGAATGAATGAATGAATGAATGAATGAATGAATGAATGAATGAATGAATGAATGAATGAATGAATGAATGAATGAATGAATGAATGAATGAATGAATGAATGAATGAATGAATGAATGAATGAATGAATGAATGAATGAATGAATGAATGAATGAATGAATGAATGAATGAATGAATGAATGAATGAATGAATGAATGAATGAATGAATGAATGAATGAATGAATGAATGAATGAATGAATGAATGAATGAATGAATGAATGAATGAATGAATGAATGAATGAATGAATGAATGAATGAATGAATGAATGAATGAATGAATGAATGAATGAATGAATGAATGAATGAATGAATGAATGAATGAATGAATGAATGAATGAATGAATGAATGAATGAATGAATGAATGAATGAATGAATGAATGAATGAATGAATGAATGAATGAATGAATAAATGAATAAATGAATAAATAAATAAATAAATAAATAAATGAATAAATAAATAAATAAATGAATAAATAAATAAATAAATAAATAAATAAATAAATAAATATATACATACATACATATATATATAAGGAGTTTATTAAAATAAAGCTCTGAATGCACTTCTAATTTCTAAAAATAAATGTAGATGGTGCTGTTAATCAAGCGGGTGATATTAGAGCTTGGGGTTGGGTGGCTAGATATGAAGGTGGTTCCTTTGTGAAAGCTAGCGGTTCCGGACGTAGAGCAGGGTGGTCGGCCGAGGAAACAGAAGACATGGGGATTCGTGATAAGAATATTTGTCTTACATAAGCAGGGTGGCATCCTCACAATGTTTCACAAAAAATTCTACCTAGAAGCGCCTCAAATTGAGGAAAACAGAAAGTGTTCCGATCAAAAAATTCTTGATAAGAATATTTGTCTTACATAATATACCTTATATATTATGGACTAGACCAATTCGAGTAGTTGTTATTTTACTACTTCAGATCGCTTTTATATTTATTGTTCGTTTGTAATTGTATTTGTTATTTTGATTCCACCTAAAAAATGATCGAGTTAATGTTGCTGATGATAACATTGTTATGTGTTTATAGTAAATTACTAATATTACCAGTCAATTTATTACCACATACTTTTTACTTATAGTGAAATTCGATTATAAGAACATTATTTTGGGGTTGAACTATCAGCGAGACTGCTACTGGATGTGTCTTTGGAACTATACATTAAACTTTTTTGCTAGGCAGTTGATGCCAATTATATTTTAAACGTTTATGTTTTTTATTTTTATGTTTATATTTAATGTTTACACTTGGATATTTTTGTGATATTTGAACATTGCAATATGATGCAAGATAATTTGATGGTCATAACTTCGTCAATTATTTTCATGATTTCGAATTTGAATATTTTATGTAACTGAAGGTAAAATGTATTCATTTTTGGAATATAATAATTTTTATAATGAACCAAAAAATGTAAGAATTGAACCAAATTTAACTAGAACAATAAATACATTTTTTACTAGAACCAAACCAAATTTAACACGGCCCATACAATTTTTTTTTGAAATAAACCTGGCCCATACAATTGTTAATATGATTCTATCGAATTTTAACCACAACCGAACCGATCCCACGCTAACTTATATTAAATAAGTAAAGATTAGTGAAACATTGTTTACCTATTTAGCACGGTCGCACGGAGTATTGTTTAGGTTCACTTTGGAATTGTGGTTTGAGAACAGAAAAAAACTCAGAACATTTACTTTAAAATCACTTTTGAGAATTGTGATGATAAATAATACTGTATATAAGTACTTTTGAGAGATATTTATTTGGGTTAAAAATAAATAAATTAAAGAGTGTCGTGGTAAAAGTTGAATTTCTAAATATTAAATATTGAGTACTTTAATTTAACCTCAATATATATAGTTCTGAAACGTTCAGATAGATGAATGGTTTTCATTAATTGTGACTAGTAACTAAAGTTGAGTTTAATTAGTGCTGTATCGAATATCATAGTTTAACTCTTGTTAAACTTTAATTAAAACTGAAACATATGACAGACATGCATTGTTCGATGAATTCGCATCCAAATGTGCATTTCGATTTGCACGTAAATATTTTAAAAATTTTAATATATCAAAACGTATGTCTATTTTTATGTTTCATCCGTTCTTGAATAAGTAAAACATGTTTAATTTTATATAATTCACATATTTTATTTTAACGGCGTTTTATTTATTAATGCATTGATAGCTTATTTTTTCAAAGATAATGTTAAAATTTGTCTAGTTTTAAATTTTCAAAATCTGGTTTTTTTATGGGATAATTCCCTAAATGGGACTAAATCAATGTTGAAGTGCACAAGTAGGACTCTCATAATTAATAGGACCGAAAATGGACTGATTGGACAAAACTGCCCTTAATGAAATTAAGGGTCAAATAAAAAAAATAAAACCCTCTCCCCACCGCCTCAGTTCATTCAACGATGCTAACTCCAAACCGACCTTCAGCACATGCACCGCCTCATTCCAGATGCGAACTCCACACTCCACACTGTGACACCGCCAGCACCTTCCCTCTACTGCCGCTGGTGTCGAAACCGCTGCCGCAGCCAATTGAGACCGCCACCGCAGTTGCCGTCGAGATTGCCGATGCACACCTTCGGTGAGGCGACTGACCCCGTCCTACTGTGATGTTGGCATCTTCTTAGTCACTGCTACCTCATTTGAATGTAGTAATATGAGGAAGAAAATGCAATTATGATAACAATAATGACAACAAAATGGCATTTCTACATATAAACAAATGGAATTTTCAGATTATAAATTATGGCATTTTCAGATTGTAGAGTACAAAAAGTGAAATAGGAGAAGAAAAATGAAGAAGTAATGTTGTCCAAATTCAATTCAATGCCATAAAATGCCACAATTTGTGAAAATGTCAAAAATTTGGCATTTTCAAAGATGCCATATTTCCATCTCCATAAAAAATTGCCATTAATGTGGCATTTTGTACAAGTTGATAAAAATACACAATAATAAAATTTAGATCTGAAATTTTTTGAACCAGAGCCTTGAAAATTCATCCCCAAATGTTTTGATTTCAAAATTTTCAGATCAAAAATAAACTTTCCCTTTAAGAATCAAATAAACATTCGAATGAATTAACAGAAAATAACAATAAATGCAAGAGGAGCAGAGAATAGAGGATTAGGAGGAAAAAGGAGAAGAAGAAGAGAAGAAGAAAGAGAAAGAGAAGGAGGAAGGGATTACTTGTAGATACACTGGCCGGAGCATGGCGCGAGGAAGAGAATCGGTCACTCCATGGGAGAGGAGCTGCCGATGCGGAAAAGAAGATACGAATGGGGAAGATGCCAATCGAGTAAGATGCGGATGGGGAAAAGGAGATGGGCCGATGGTTTAAGAATTTTGGTCATAATTTAGGTATTATAGCAGGGGCAAATCTGTAACAAGGAGTCCCATTTAGGTAAAATAAATCATTAACTCCCATTTAAGAATTTTGGTCATAATTTAGTCCTATTTAAGACAAAAAAGTCTTTTTTTATTTTTTACAAAGAAAAAATAAATATACGTAGTATTATTTATCAAAGTTGTACATGGTTAAACGCGAAAAGTGAATGTTGAATTTATTTAAGAAACTAATACTTCATATGATTTAATATAGTTTCCCTTTTAATAAAAATAAATAAAACCATGTTTGAACAATAGTGCAATATGACGACATTAATATTGTCGACTTATCATTCTATAATGTAAAAATATGAGAGTCAATTCAGAATGACATAAGAAATAATTATGTAATTTTTAGTGATTATAGTTATGCTTAATTTTTAATTGTTAATTATGACCATATGGGATTGTGCACATACTAACATTAGTCAAATCAAATTCTAATCCATAAATTTTATTTTAATGATATTCTACAAAAACCTTCAAAATATAGTACTCATCATATTCAAAGAAGACGCATTATTTTGAGAAATTTCCCATTGTATTATCATCTTCTGAATATATTTTTTAATCTTCCAACAGTAACCTCCATGTAATTTCCGTTTCGACTATCACAATATAAACACTAATGGCTTCAGTTTCTACTTCTCCCCTCTTTAAAGCTAGTTCTAACCTCCTCATTCAAGCTCTTGTGCATTCAATATTTCCATTCTCACTTTAACTTTTTCACTACATTTTTGCCGGTCAAATGTTGTTTTCTCCTGCCAATTAAGACAAAGTTATTGATAAGTAAAACAATTACTATACATTATTGTTATTAATAAGGTGACGGTGTGAAATATTCACTAAACACCATATCTGTGCAAACACATATATATCTCCTTCACGAGTCACAAACCTAGCTAGCTAATTAAGCTAAAGGGGCAACATATAAAAACTATGGGTGAAGAAAAACACTATTGTGATTATTGTTATTTTTATTTCTCAAGGAATTTTGTTTTCCTTGTCTCTGCTTTAATGTTGCTATTTCCCTGTGATGCTTTGGAATTTGATGTTGGTGGCTCCGACGGGTGGGTTTTAAACCCATCTGAAAGTTATGACCATTGGGCTAATCGTATGAGATTTCAAGTTAATGACTCTCTAGGTATGTTTCTTTCTTCCATCATTTCATTATAGCTTTTAATTTATTTGTTCTTGATACTAACCAAACGCCCTCTATGTATGGCTACGTTTGGTATTCGGCATTTCAGCCTCAATACGTTGCTTTTTGCAGTGTTTTGCTTGTAAAATATTTGGCGTTTTGGAAGTGACAAGTGACTATATAATATGGAATACTACGTAACTTTTAGTGATTATAATTATTTTTAACTATGGTCTTTTTAAAAAAAAGACCATGGAATTGTGCACATTCTAACATAGTAACATTAGTCATATTCTTATCCATAAATTTTTTTTTTTCGTCCCGGTTTGAAAATAGCTAATCCTAGTCCGATCCGGTCCCAAGACCATGTTCACCCGTATACTTGCCCATAAACTTTTCTTTGAAACAATTATACAAAAAGGTTATGATGTTATGACAAATTCATCAATGAACTACTACTGTATAGCAATGAACATACACTCCCCAACTATTCGGACATATTTGTGTTTAATCGTTCTAACTTCTAAAAGACCATCAAAGTTATATTTTTCTATGATGTAATTCTGGAGCAAGGTTGTTCGAACATACACTCCCCAACTATTCGGACATATTTGTGTTTAATCGTTCTAACTTCTAAAAGACCATCAAAGTTATATTTTTCTATGATGTAATTCTGGAGCAAGGTTGTTCCTTAACTATCTCTTATTCAATTAAATTAAATTCATTAATGTTAACTTATTTCTCTTGTTTGCAAATGTAATCCTTAACGAAATTAGATTTTGCATGTGCACGTACCTACAGTATTCAGGTATGATGAAGGACAGGATACTGTATTGGAGGTGAAGGGGCAGGATGATTATGAAAAATGTAATACCCAAAACCCCATCAAAAAAATGGACGATGGAAATTCAGTTTTCAAGTTGGACAGATCAGGTCCTTTTTACTTCATTTCTGGGAATCAAGAATGTTGCCTCAAAGGACAAAAAGTTACTGTTGTTGTTCTCACCACGAGAAACGAAAACAGTACCCTGCCACCCAAGGGCTGTCCTTCACCACCATCCGACCAGCAACCTTCCTTGGCTGCACCCCCTAAAGCTATTGATCCTCTAGTTTCTCCGCCTGATGTGTCCTCTGCACCTTCATCCAATGCTACCGCACAACAAGGTTGCTTGAACACTCCGCCTGCTGACTATGACCCGCCAGTGGCAGAGCCTGAGGATAGGCCCTTAGAAGGCTTTGATCCTCCACCAGTAACAGAATCACCAATTCCGGGGAAGGACTGTGATGCTTCAATCATCAGAAGTGATCCAGTGAATGTTAATAAACCACCACAGTGGAAATCAGCAGCACCTGCCGCAACCCATCTTTCAAGTGTCTTGATTGCAGCAGTCATGGTTATTATAAGTGCTACCTTCAGAGGATTTCTCATTTTTTAAGTAATATACCCATATTAGTCATTTCAAAATTAACAAAGTATTATTAGATTTTTAAAAATATGAATAATCATTTATGTCATTTACTGTAATCTTTTTGTTAATCATCATTTATAAAATTATTACTATATAGTTTATTTAGTTTTAAAATGACATAATTATAGGATTTTGGAAGAGGTATGTAACAGAAATGTTGGAGTGTAGTCATTATCCCCTGTTTGGGAAGAAAGTAATAAGCATCCCTTTATTGTCTGAAACTACAAATTCAAGAGTTGGAGATCATACATAATTTATCCCCCTATAGTACTAACATAAAAAAAGGCTTACAATACAAATACTTAACGGAACCTTGGGATAAGCCGAGCCAGGAAAATATAGTTTATGTGTTACAGAATACAATATATATAGATGTCCTCAAAAGAACCACCATCGCCTTTGCCTGCGGTTTTTCTGCACCCAATTATTAAATTATTAGTCGGAACTCAACTATTTTGAAATCAGATGATGAAACTCTCAACTAACTAATGAACTTCAATTAAAGAATCCAAATTTCAAATGACCCTAACATATAAATGTAACACCCTAACAATCAAATTAAAATTATCTTGGTTTGAATTAGGTGTGGCCCTTTATGCCTAGTTTGTATGTTTTCGGCCACTTCCAAACCGGCTTGAGGTAAAGTGTGTGGGACCCGTATGTGGTCTCAAATCTCTGGTGATAATATAACAATGATAAAAATAATTAACAGAGAAATTATTTTATAATGGAAAGTGTTTCTAGTTCTTTGTTAGTACTGCTAACAATGTTTATCACTTGCAAATATTACTGGGGTTATTTAAAAAAACTGAGAACAAAAAAAATCACCCATAACAAGTTTTTATACTGCTACACTAGGACGCACGGAAACTCTCCATGGCTCACAGTTTTTATACTGCTACACTAGGACGCACGGAAACTCTCCATGGCTCACGTTTCCACGTTTCGGAAACTCGGAAACTTCAAATTCCCGTTTCGGGACCGTTTTCGTAATTAAGAAAAATTTGGAAACCCGTTTCACTACATTTCGGAAACCTCGGATTCCAATTTTTTTTTCTTTTTCAAAAGATTCTATGGTGGAAAGTAATTTTTTATAGTGAATTTTTGTGGTATTTCTCAGCGGCAACACTTGTTACATTTCGTAACGCAATGTATTGCTAGAAATGTATTACCCCGTACATTTTATGTTTAATTATGTACTAATATGAAATAATATCTAAATTCGAACATGTAGAGTGATTTTATTATTTGGTTACTAAACAAATTATATTAAAAAACATGTGCATATGGAAAAACTTGTGTACATATATTAAAAAATATTTATAAATATATCCTTATATTTTATAATATTTACGCGTTTCCCCCACGTTTCGTGTCCTATATTTTATAGAAATTACGTTTCTCGCGTTTCCCGTTTCCCGTTTCCCGTTTTCCGTTTCCGTGTTACTTAGCTGCTACACAGGGCAGAAAGTTCACATGTTTACCAAGCGAACATTATATTATCATAAAACATTTCACATGTAAAATATTGTATGCATATTATTCTAATAAGATATTGAAATCTTCTATACCGCCTTTCATGAGGGTGTGCCATTCAATATGGTTGGTGGATATCATAGTTATTTGGTTTAGTACTTAATAATAGTGATTATTTAATATTGGTTATCAACTAAGCCAAATGAGTTAGTTTCAAAAAAAACTAAGCCAAATGAGTTACAAAGAAGGGTGTAACAGAAGCATTAGGGATAAAGGCTTTGTTGTTGTATTCATGAAATGACCAGAGCATTAGGGAGCATCTTAAAGAACCTATTTGATGTGATAAAATCAGGAAGAAAAAACAGAACATGAATAAGCATAGAGTAGCACCTTTTGTGTCTCTTTCTTTATTATAATAGGCTGAGAAAGCACACCATTGTCAATGTTCTGAATGTATGGCTGTACCTTCTCCTCCAACATTTTGTTTAGCTGAAGTTCATAAATGTTAGGGTTAGCAGCAGATCAAGGGCGCATTAAGCCACTAGATACATAATTGCTATTAGCCAAAACAGGAAGATGACACAGTCAAACCACTAAATCTCCATATGTGAAGCCAAAACAACAGAGTGGTTCTAAATTACAGAGGAAGCAAAATGAAATGTTAATGTTTACTAGGAGCATAGGAAGCAATTTAAAATCACTTGAACAAAGAATGGTGCAGCAAAAGAATTGCAGATACTGACCTTTTCTTCCCGCCACTCGGCTTGCCACTGAGCATCCAGCATCTGCTCTGCAATTTCTTTTTGTGCACTAAGAAGGACTTTCATTTCATCGAGTCTTTTAGGATCTTTGAGATCTTCTTCAGTCCAAGAAGATATATTCAGAGGAAGGTTCAACTCCTGCAGATGGTTACATCACTGAATGATTGAAAACATAGAAATTTTCATAATATCACCTAAAACATCATAATACAAATCTCTAAGCTTTTACATGAATGTTTGCAGGATTAGAGAACAAAAGCTGGTAGGCATTCAGCATTCTTAACAAATTGGCCAAGTAACCCATGGTTAGAAGTTAGAACCATAAATCTACCAAAAAGGATTTTTTTATGTAACTTATGCATGGCTAGGTATCAATAGATTCTAATTAGAAATCTAGTTTCTTTCAACTAATTATGGTCATTGACTGGGATGTTATAAATCAACAGGAGCATCCATCACCATCAGAAATGGCTTAGGAGTAAGTCTTAGGATAAGTCCATATGATCATGATTCTACTGCTTTCTGATTCCATCACAAGAATATGCACTCTGAAATGGGTGCATTTTACCAAATCAGCATGCAACATCTGGAACAGGCCCTCAAAGATTGTACACAATCAAGAAAGCTAACATGTGGAAGTGTCCTGAACAACCTTACACATAATAGTTAAACCAAATTGCGAGGAGTCATCTTATACCCATGCTCCACGTTAATCACCAAGTATTTCATAAATTGATGACTCGTTTTACACGCCGAGTAACTTGGTCGTACTAAATTATGACATATTTTTGAAAGATTGAAATGAAGAATGAAATTTGAAAACAAATAGCGACTTTATTTTAATAAATGGGAAAAGAACATTACCAAAGTCTATGTCTTGGAAGCATTAACATTTAAAATTCCCACAAAGGCTTTAGGTCTCGGTGTGCTCTTCTTCTTCAGTTCTTCAATTATTTTCTTCTTCTTAGACTTCTTACTAGGAATTTTTGTTATTACATACGAAGTATTACGTAGTAATATATAAGTAATGTGCAGTAATAAATGGTTCTGAGAACGCTTATCAGGATTAATTTCGGATATAGTAAGACGTGAGGATTGATTAGATGATGGATCTTTATAAAATGTTTATGATTTATACTAGTTGTAATGAATTATTATTTTCTGTTCTGTATATACTTTTTAGGCAGCTAGTCAGCTACATATAAATTTTGTGACATCTTTTTTAAAAAGTTACTACTACAAGACCGAGTAATCACGAGTAACCAGTCCTACTCACTACTCAGCCCTTGACCGAGTAGGCACCATGTACCGATTGAACTACTTAGATCAAATCTACCACAACATGACAACATCAGTGTGAATTGCAGCAGGAAAAAAGGTTTTCTTCATGTTCTAGTGCTGTGATCTTCGGAAGCTTACTTGGAAATAGCAACATTTTAAATAAAAAATGTAAAGACTTACTCCCCAATCATTAGGACGCGGTGGAGGGTCAAGTTTCAATACTTCAGCTTCTAGCGCCTTCAAGGCCCTGTAATAGGGGATATTTTTTATGACAACAGGATCATCCCTAGCACGGGCAGGATCAATTGAGATCAAAGCCTGTAGTATAAGAATTAATAAAAATACACCCATTCCATTCATGAGATGTGCATTACATATTCACAATAAGTCACCATACTTCTTGCAAGTATTCCCATCCAGGCTTTCGCTTGACAACCTCATCTCTTAGTAGATCGTATCGCATAGATTCCTAAATAATAGAAGAAACATCATGAGTTGCCAATGTCATCAGAAATTCATAGCATATTAGATCTAAAGCTTCAATATGGGGAAACACATCAGAAAATGTTAGGAAGACCATTCGATCATCTTAAAAAGTCAATTCGTATTTTCATATGTCTTTATATGTGAAATAAGAACTGATCCGAACCGTATCTCAGTGAAGATCAGCGGATGAAATTTAGCCATAAAACAAGTGACATATCCTAACAAACTAAAAAACTAGTATCTTCCATTACTAATTTCTGCAAACTGTGGGATTAAATACTAAACATTGAAGTGGTAAAATTAACTGTATTAGTGAAAAAAAAAACTAAAAAACGGGTAGAAGCCTAGAAAGGTACATCAATGAGGCAATACATATAATGAAAAAGTGATCAAAAACAGAAATAGACCTTGTACTGCCACCATATCTTCCTTTTGACATCCTCTTCATATTTAAATCCGCCTACTACCTGAGGTAAGGTAATCAACCAAAATGCTGCAATGCTGGGGTCTTTCATACTCTCAACTATATGCTGCAATGAAAAGGTCTCAGAACTACAAAATCACAATTAAATTCAGTATAGTGTGCAGAAAATTTAAACAATGCAGAAGCTCTAGTCTACTTTCTTTCAATTTCTTGCAGGTAGATAGATTGAAACTACAACATACCCTAAGGGTATGTTTGGGAGTTTGGAGGGAAGGGGAGGGGAAGGCTTTGAAGGGTTGTTGTCGGAGGGGAAAGGTAGGGGAAGGTGAAGAAACCCTTCTTCCTATTTGGGAGCATTAAATTTGGAAGAGAGACTTTGAAGGAATTATTATTAAAATTACATTGAGATGTGACAAACTCAAATAATTTAATTGATAGTTGTTGAAGTATTTATCCCACACCGGAAAGCTTTAGAACAACAAAACACTATATAAGACTTTGGATTACTCCTCCTATCAGGTTGACCTTTTAGGATGGAACCCCGGGTCTTAACATGGTATCAGAGCCAAGTTCGGTTGTGGTTTGAAAACTTGTTTAGCACCCATGATTAAGGGTAGCTTGTTAAGGGTCTGTTTGGCCCATTTATACACCCCGATATTGTTCAGCCCGGTTCGGGCTGAGGGGGCGTGTTGAAGTATTTATCCCACACCGGAAAGCTTTAGAACAACAAAACACTATATAAGACTTTGGATTACTCCTCCTATCAGGTTGACCTTTTAGGATGGAACCCCGGGTCTTAACAATAGTCATTTTAAATTAAGCTTAAATTATTATTTCATTAATTACCCTTCAAAAACCTCCAAATTGGGGGAACTTCAAAATTGAGCATTTAGAGGGTTTTGAAGGGTTACAAAATCCCTCCAAAACCATCCCCTTGAATTTCTTAAACTCCCAAACGTGAGAACAAGGGTCATAAACCCCCATAAACCTTCCCCTCCCCTCCAGATTCCAACTCCCAAACACACCCTAAGGCCTAAACCAGGAAATGAATGATTTTACAATACAACTCTTTCTCTAAAGAACAATGCTAAATGTAAAATAGCAGCAAAGTCTAGAAGAATAATCACAAGTTGCAAGGCGTTACACTTGCAGAACACCAGAACCAACTTTAAATAAAATTCTATCAATAGCAATTAGCATAACTGACATAGAAGTTCAAATTATTGTGAACTATTAAAATAAAAGACTTAAAAGAGTATGATAGCATTAACCTCATAGGGGTAGCCTATCTTTCTCATTATATTATACGGTATCCATGGAGGCTCCATTATCTGTAAAGTTCGAGTACAAGCATGAAATTTATTCAATAAAAGCTGGACAAGTTGTAAATTTACCGACAAACTACACCTTTGTTTTCAACTTACATTATCAGCAGATATCTTGATTGGTGGCATGTCTTCGCATTCTGGGCATATCATAGAACCCTATATAATTAAGTAAAAAGAGAATGCAGTTACAAATCTGAAGTTTACACAAACACTTAGTGAAGCTTTTTGAAATACAAAAGTGTCATAGTCCTCACAGATCCGCCACAAGTTGGACAATCTTTAGATGGTAGTGGCAAGGGAAGGTCTACTGCTGAAGGAAAGTGCACTAACTCGGCTCGGTTCTCAGCTATGGCATTTGCAATGCATTCAGCTGTTGGCTTCTCCCCCCTGCAAATAGAATCCGGAATATTAGGGGGAACCTATGACCATAGCTTATATAGGATGTTACCTTCATTGCATCTAGCAAGGAATGAATGAAAAAATGGGTGTAATGTAACAACCAAGCATCCATCAAAAAACAAAACGCTTTGAAAGGATATATTCAATAAACTAATGCTGAATGTGGATATCAAGTTGGCAGAAAAGGAAGGGTCAGTAGCTTAGATCATTTCTAATAAATACATACACTACAAAGGAGCTGATAACCATCTAAAGGTCAGTGCTTTCATCAGGATGGGATATTTGGCTACAGCTTTTGACACCAAAGATTCTTGCACCAGAGAGAACCTACCTATGCAGATGGTAATCTTTCACCTGGTATTGCACCATCCCAGAACCCTTGCACATTGTGCACTGCAAAGCCTTCCAGCCATAGCAGGTCCTACAGTCACTGGAGTTCAAAATGCATTTTTATCAGTATTGGTATAATCTTCAAGTTAACAAAGAATGTTGATGTTGTCTTAAGACCAGCTACTACTATTTAACTACCTCGAACAAACCAGTTTCTTTCCCAGCTCCAATGCAATATCATACGTTCCCAACGTAGCAACTGCCTATGCACCAATTTAAGGAGTACTTGTGAGCCACGTTTTATGTTTTAGAAGAAAAAAAATAATACTCCCTCGGTGCCAAATGGTTTTGCAAATAATCAATTCAACATTTCTTGATCAACCAATAAAAATAATCAAGGCTCCCTATCCATAATTAATTCAATTTTTAATAATTAAAATTTATATATTCAGAAACTATGTTAAAATCTCTTCAAAATTCTAAACTCCAAATTAGAATATAATTAAAAATTGTTATCCTAATTAAGCAAATAAAATGAAATTATTTGACCAAGAAAAGTCAAATTTACAAATCAATTTGGGAGGGTAGTATGTACAAGACTTCTAACTGGCAAATGAACAAACATATGGTGAACCATCGGTTGGGAGCAAAGGGTCAACGAAAATGAAGCTCCACCAAATCGAAATGGTTACTTACGAAAATTGCAGAATAAGAGAGGTTAGAAATGAACTCGGGGACGCCATAGCCACGATGGGCAGAGCCAGCAATTTCTAAGGGAAGTGTGAAAGGGGTCAAGACCACCTTTATGGGGAATTCGAGAATGTCCCTTATCTGGTGGCCATAGCGTTTAGTGAAGAGGGTGAACTGAAGGTCTGCGAATCTCTTGATGTCGCTCACCAGGCGCGCTGTGCCTGACATTGGAGCCGGCTGTGAAGTGTGAATGCCCCCAGTTCCAAGGGGAAATATGAGGTCGCGAAATTTACAGGGAGGGCCGTAATTTTGATAACTTTTTTTTATGATTTTGATAAAAAACATTGATGCAAGGATAATACGTAGTAATATTCTTTTAAAAAAAAAAATCATTATGATTATATTAAGTACGGAGTAGTATATAATACTACGTATTATATATCATTATTATATGATTGTAATAATATATCATTATTATATCATTATATGATTGTAATAATATATTATTATTCTACGTATTATTTTATTTTATTATTGAAAACATAATAATAATAGGAAAAATTTGACTTTGCATCGATTGATATTTGACTTTTAAATCATTAATGTATGCACTTTATCATTTCAAAAATTGTGAAGGAGTGAGGTGCAAAGTCAAATGATTTTATAATGATTTGGATTCATATATTAATAATTTTGAAAATATGGTACAAAGCAAATATCACTCAAAAAATGGGGTGCAAAGTCAAATTCTCTCAAGATAATATATACACAAATAATGTAAGGTGAAATTTATTCGAAAAATCACAACTAAATCATAGACTATAGTTATAATCAAGTCATTATCGTTACATCAAAATGTTACTGTTAGTGTCACTCATTTGTCTATAATTATCAAACTGAAAGAAAAAAAAATCATACGGAGTATTAACAAAAAAATGATTGTATAATAATACTTGTTCAAGATTTAACGTCATTATTGAATATATAGTGATTGCAGAGCTCATAGTTTATATAAATATCTCAATCATAATTACTTTTCCCTTATAATCATATCTAGTGTCTTGTTTGAAAAAAATGAACCTCGTGAGTGATTTTATTGTTTTTGTATGAGAGATATGATCATTCAATAGGTCTTGTCCTTTTTGAAAGTATCCGTTTTTATTTTGTATGTTTTTGTTTAGTTATCTATTTCTCATTTCTACTCTAGTAAACTAAAACGGTGATGTTCATTTAAGGTGTAATATCAATCAGTTAATGTATTAATTAATTAATTAATTAATTACATAATAATGATACGAATAAGTATAGCATTTTAATCTTTGCAAGCACATGATAAGGCTAGTAGATTTTAGGGGGTGGCCAGTTACATCGGTGTTACAAGATTGCTTAAGCTAAAATATCACATGGGGGTAATTAAAAGAAATGAATGGGAATTGCTAAGCTAAAACAACTACAGAATCGAAACACTTGAATCTAATGTGGATGAATTCAGCCGGTACACTTGAAGCAACAAGAATAAGGTCTTCAGATTGTGATAGCATGAGAACACTATGACTATTCACAAGAAGTGAAGCCAAAAGGTGGTGGATCATCCAATACCAGAGGAAATCAGATCATGAGAGCTTTTATTTTGGATTTAATATCCTGATCAAAGTCCTTTAGCCACATTTTTGAATTCATTCAAGCAAGTATGAAGTATCTTTTGTCGCTTCTGGAGTGATTGGCGTTCACTCTCAAGGACATCAATGGTTCCGGGTGAAACAAACATGTCCATGAATTTCTCATCACTGACAGCAAACAAATCCAATCCAAGTGACACCAGAAGCCTCTCTCGACTACAAAGTTAAATACATAGGATTAGTTCAAGCAAACTGAGAATAACAGTCAAACAAGTTTGAAAGGTTAGGTAACTTACCAAGGAGTGAGAAAGCCAGAGTTCATAGTTGATGACACACTCTGCTCAACCAGAACATCTCGCATTCGACCGAAATGCTTTGCAGCAAGTGAACATATCTCTGCATAAGGTGACATTGTGGAATTGCTACTCCCACTCGCTAACGAGCGGCTGACCTTTTGGCCTCTCATATGATCAGGGTTTCTGTTATTGCCAATCAGTCTAGAATGGCGTTTTCTTGCTCCAACTTCAACACAGTTCACAAGTTCCTTTTTTAACCCATAATTTGCGTCATCAAAAGGTTGATCAGGAGATGGTGTTTCAGGCACAGTCATTTGACATTCACGAAGAGCATCCCCTCTTTTGGTCTCTCCAGATTTTACTGGTGTTGTTTCCTCCAGAATCTGTCCAGGAGGCATATTTTCTTGGTTTTCTTCAGTTACCACCACCTCCTTGTGACATGAGGGCCCACCGCCACCATCAGACAGTTCAAGACAAAATGAACCAGTTGAGGCTTGGTTGAAGCCATATATAGAGTTTGGAGCAGCTCCAAAAGAAGTGCCCAATGAGTCCTCATAGCACACCTGGGAGTAAGGGCTAGTAACCGTATCAAGATGATGCCGAAGAAGTTGCTTGCACTGTGTTGAGAGATCTTTTAGAAAGCGGTTGTAAGACTGCCTTAGAGAGGCAAGGAAACCAACATATCCATTAACATCTCCATCTTTATCCCTATCTACAAATCAGAATGACAGTTTTAAAGATGAATTTTTCACAAGAAAGAACTCAAGGATGCCTAGCAAATTGTAACTCATATTGTTCATGTAATTTACTCAAAAAGAATCACAAACATGCTATCTACTTGCATATGATAAACTTAGTTAAACCAACAAATTAAAAGAAGTATTGCATCCATCATGCTTTCCTTGACTGATACTTGCCAAACTATCATTAAAGTTAACAGCGACATATAAAATGGGCGACATAAAATGGCCTTAGCCAACATCTAGTAAAAAATAATGCCTCCATAAAAAGAGTCACGTTTGATCAATGTACAACCTTTCAATTTAATTTAGGTAAGGTATAACAACCATAGCTCAAGGATCTTTTGATTTGTTGGTTTAACTAAATTTATCATTTATCATACGCAAGTGCATAGCATGTTTGCGTTTTTTTTCTTGAGAAATTATGATCAAATTAGACTTTTTTTAGACAAAAATGAAAAATGTTTGGAATGGAAGTCTCTTTTTGGGTAGAGGGGTTAAATTTATGTATCGTCGTGCATTCTGATGATGAAACTACTCCAAATAACTAAAAGATGCAGGTGGCACGATCAAACTGAAGAAAAAATTGATATCTTTTACTTGAAAAATACTCACATTGTGAACCACATTGAGAATTCCTTTCAATGGCAAGTTCAAAGAGGTTTCCTAAAACGAAGGACAAACGGTCACAAGCAGTTTGAAGAAGAGGAGAAAGCCAAGAGCGTGTTGCAGCCTTTGCAATCTCTGCAGCTGCATCTGTAATCCCTCTACTCCCACCTCTGCCAGCATGGGCTAGTAAAATATTTGCTACCTGTTACATAAACTCTGTAAATTGCATTCTCAATTGCAATTCTAGGGCTGCTCAATAACTGATTTCTTTGAATAACATATACTCACCTTCTCCCTCGACACAGTGGGGCATGGAATCGAATACGCAGCACATCGAAATTCATGCATAACCCTTTCAAATGCAGCACCTCCATAAAGGGAAAGTGTTGCATTTGGAGGTCTAATATCTGTTGAAACACCAGGCCAACTGCCAATACCACTCTCTGACCTTTCCTCTTCTGTCGTTCTTCCCCATTGCTCGGGTTCAGGGTCCGCTGCTCCTTCGATAAGTGCCACCTTCAAAAGCAGCAGATTCCCAGAGATATAAGGAATGATTAAAAATTTCAGAAAAATGCAGATGTTGGAATTGACCTGAGTGTATGATTGCATGAACAGCATAAAGAAACAAACTACTTACTTCATAACAGAAGATGAAGATATCAGCAATAAATTAAACATTTAAATGACGGAAAATAAACTGACCACGTGATTACATAAAGCAGCAGCATGCAGCAAGGCTGATCTTCGAAGATGTGCAACATCAGATGTCGCCTGTATTTTGGAATTCATTTTGGCTATTTCAGTAGTTACTTCACTACACCGCTGTTCAAGCAGGGCCAGTGTCGCAGGTGCAGCTTCTTTGTATCTTTTCTGGAGCTCAGTTTCCAGATAATCTCTAAGACAACCAAACCCAACATTGGACCTATACTTCTCCTCATCGAAACCCCCCTTAACAGATTCCCGCAGATACCGCAATATTTCTGCATCAACCTGAGATATTTGCTTGCGGAACTCCTCATTAGAGACCGCAGTTCGATCCTTGGGCAGTGCCACAAAATATGGACGAGTATTATCCCCAAGGTACCCACTTGCACTCAAATAGCGATCAACTTCCCATCGGTCGCTAAACTCCTGAAAATGTTTTATACACAACCATATCACCAGGAAGGAAATCATTTGAGATTAACATTTTCATATTTTTACAAGTTTACTAGAGGGGGAAAAATTTGAACATGGCCTATATGATAACATTTGGTATCAATTGATAACTCATCCTTCTACGAATCATACTTTTTACCAAACAATCAACACTTAGGCCTTTTTACTTAAGGTATTCTGGTAGAGTCTTTACCAAACACCCAAATTAGCTGATATTGTGGTAGAGTGGTTTAAAATAGCTAAATTCTCTCCAGTCAAATCTTCATCATATAAGGCCATATTCACTGACTAAAGTACAAGTGGTTACATTATTATACTATTAGAATCAGTTTCCGCATTATGAAGTTGAAGTTTCAACTTGTATGCAGATAAGGCTTATTCACTCAGTTTCGATTGCTCTCCTCTTACAAAATTATTTAGAGAACCAGAATTCAGGCCATATAAAGGTTAAGTGTAACTGTGTAGTTTCTACCTTGAGCCTGTTATCAAATTTGGAGACAACAATAATTGTCCTCCTAAAACTTGGATCAATTTCACGAAGAACATCCAACCATAGAGAAGAACACCACTCCACACTGCTCTGCTGAAGAAACAATATAATGCGGTGAGGTGGAGATGCTAGTGACTTCACCATTGATAGAATTTCATCAGGTGTGTTATCAGGTTCACCCTTCTTTGCCTGAAATTACGTTAACTTGTCAAATCATTTTCCAGACAGATCGCATGTTACCCATATACAAAACTTTGAATCTCATCATACCAATATTTGACTGGCCCAAAAAACTTACCTTTAGAACAAATCCTGGTGTATCAATAATGGTAAGGTTAGGACAGTGTGCATATTCTACTCTCATGATAATGGATTTCGATGACACCGCATCCTTAGTTCTTCTTAATAGTGCTTCTGTCCGTGACTTTATGGTATCAGCAATTGCAGAGGCAGATACAATTGGACTCCCATATTCTTCAGAATTCTCCTCCTGTTTCAAATATAATATTTCATATGTCACTCTCTTCAGCAAAGATGCATCAAATGCAGCATCACCTCATTCGCATCGCTATAAACACATACTACGTATGAGAATATGACATTGTTCAAAATGGCAAAGGCAAGGAAATTCATAAAGTAATCTGCCTTATGGATTGCTCTAGCCTCACGTTCTTTTCAGTAACTAAAATTCTGAAATGCTGATACTAGACTAGAGGGTACTTAAAATGCCTTAATATCCGTCACTATTATGTACTACACTGTTATCAACATTTTACTGCACGTTTCAATTTAAGCACGTCTATAACTATATATTGGGAAAACTTACAGCTTTATGCGGGCAGGATACTTCATATCCATGTTTTATTCAAAATTATCGAAATGAAGCCCTAAATTAACTTTGGAAATTTATAAAGAACACATTCAAGAGCAAGCCTAAAACAGCACTTCAATTAAAATTTCAAAATCAAAACTAAACCTGAAAACGGCATCGAGGCTCCAAACAAGTGGAGTCATGGACCATTTGCAGAATAAGAGGACGTCTAGTACCCATTTCAACTTCTCTGACGTTGAAGCGGAACCCCAGTAAGGCTTCGAGTAAAGAACTCTTCCCATCAGATTGTCCACCAATAGCGACGATCTCCGGTATCGGCAACTTCTCTCCGAAGGCAACAGCAGCTGCTTGAAGGCGATTATAGGCTTCGAACCGAGTCCTCATTTCAGCAGCGGAGGGAACGTCGTGGTGTCGGTGGTGATGTTTCTTAGAATGGGAAGATGTCGCTGTGGCGGCGGCTGTGGTCCTTTGAGATGCCGGTGTTTTGGATGGTGTAGTTTGGAAGGCCTCAGCAGTCGCCATTGCTAAGGGCGGAGATCAGACTGCAGAACAGGACTTTGAATTTTGAAATTTAAAATGGAACTGCAGGAGAGCCGTTGAAGAACCATAAATACAAGATCAGAAGGTAATTCTACATTTCTACCGGTCTACCCGGAGAGGGGTGGTTTTTTTGGGCTTGTGCGTGGTAATACGGGTTCCGACAAAAAGAACCCGAGTGTAATAGATCCAATTGCGATCATGAAATTGACCCGGACACGGTTTAGACGGATTTGTGGTCCCGGCCTCAAATTTGAACATTTGGTTACACATGTATAGGTCCACTTTACTTCCTTCCCCACAGTTCTTAGGAACTTATCTGCCCACACCTAGTGGTTCTGATGGGTCCGACACCAATATCGCATTGGAGAAAGGGGTACACTCACGTATAGAAGATGTTTTGACCTGATCTGGTGTAATTTGATCTGATACTTTTTTATTTGAGTTCATGACTAGGAATTCTAGAACATTTGATTCTATTAAGAAATTTTGGAGAGTGGATCTCTTCTAACAAACTACTATCAAGGTCAAATAACGATGTTGAATCAGAGCTTAATTATGTTCTCAACTTCTCATTCCTAAATTTATTTGCGGGGGAGCATGCAATCATTAACATTTGTCTGCCTTGTCAATAGTGATATTTACTGTCTCAAGAAATTGGGATATGTTATTTGATGTAATTGGATCAAATATCCAAGGCACGAGGAATTCTTTAAGTATGTTAATATACGATTCTCCATCCTCATTGTTACCTACAACTCCATCACCTATATTTAAAATTAAGTCAATAAATCTCTGTATAATTAAGATCATCCGATCCACAATATCTTGTCTGCTTCCCTTCAAAATGACCGGTAAAATTTGTCTAAAGTCTCCACCAAAGACAAAGATTTTCTGCCAAAAAGTTTGGTCACATCACAACTTTATGAGTGTTGAAGAACACCATGCATAGTTTGATCAAGAGCTTCATAGCATTACTTATTATTCATGGGTGCCTCGTCCCGACCAAATTATTACTTTGCCATTTGAATTAGCTTCGCAAGTGCACTTCTTGGGTTTATGTTACAAGTTGAATCTTTTGTTGTTGTGACTGCGATTTTAAAATTGAAAGTTGTAATTCATTGTGTTAATTACTGTTTGGAATTATAAATTTAAAAAAACAAACAAACAAACAAAAATGAACCTGGGATGTGTTGTTCTTCCACTTGGAAATAGCAATGATGTGATCGCACTTGAAGCTACATTCAACACGATATTTCCTTGACGTCTTATATATGCTGATAAGGTCTTCCACATATATGTTTTAAAAATATTTTCATAATTAACTTTAGCACTCTAAGTTCTCATAATCATCTACAAGGAATTAGATTAAATTATATATTAATAGAGAGTTCGAATATGAGTACCTTCTAGTCATACTTCTTTGTATCAAATCATATTGATACGTTGTAGCAGAAACATTGTAGGTAGCTCCGAGTTTGTTATGATCAGTGCACACAACCTTATGTAGAGTACAAGAATTTAACCCAAATACTTTAAAGAGATATAGTACACATCGGAGAAACAACACTAAGAAACAATAGAGGCCTAGAGGGTAAAACTTTTCGACGTGAGAGCTAAAATGCATGTAAATTATAACGGTATTGGGAGTATAGAAAAAGTTCATGTGTGTGGCAAATATATCTTTAGAATGTCTTATGTGTAAGTCTTCCAAAAAGTAATATCACATGTATCAACAATATCTCTAGATAAAGTGATAATTTATTAAAGATATTGTTGATGCATAAGACTTTACTTCTGGGAAGACTTTCACATGCACAGGGATGGATTTAGGGGGGGGGGCAACCGCCCCCCTTGGACTTTCAATTTTTTCTACTATATATATATATATATATATAGTATTTTCAAAAGATTTTCATACTTTAATTAGATATATATGTTTTCGCCCCCCTTGACTTTTAGTTTTCAAAGTTAATATATAGTCTTACATAGTGTAATATATACTTAATTGGAGATTTAGAAGTAAAATCTAAAATAATTTAAATAGTTTAAGACTTAGGGTACCCATTATATAAAAATTCCTAGGTTTTGTAATATTTGATTATCTTTATAGATAATTAGTTTTATAAATATCACCAATGCAGTAGCCAAAATTTTCAATATAACTATCTCACATGCTTTATTAACAAAGCAAATAAATACTCTTTACTGGTTAATATTTGAGCTAAAAAAGAAAGTAGAGAATAATAATGTAAGAGAGGATATTGAGAGATGTTTTAATGTGATGGTATTTTTCTCCCAGCAGCTTCTGACAAACGGTATTTATAGTATCCAAATAGAGCATAATTGAGGGAAGCAAATGCATCACCACGGTAGAAAATGAAGACACATCTAGCTACTTGATTACATTTTGACTTGGACTTTAAAAACGCAAAAGAAAGACCAGAAACCTTGGGACCTATTTTCTTAAGAGCCTCTTTATTAATGTTGGAATTAGTTGAGTTTATTATAATTGTTTAATTTTTTTATTGAAATGGTGGTATCTGCTAAATTATGAAATAAAACATGTTTTCCATAAATAGTTAAATATGACTAAACTCAAACCCATTTACAAAAAATGACTACTTTTACAGTTTTACGTATGGATAAAAATGTGACTAACAAGCTAATATATTTAGATAACATGATGTCATTCTCGATTTTTTATGTCACTTCCAGATTTTTATGTCACTAACGTATAACACGATCACCACCACATATGTCATTGTCATCGTGAAACATGTCACCGTGACAATAAGGCAATTTTTCGATATTACATTTTTTCCAGCAATTTTTCAAAAAAATGAAAAACTAAAAAAATCATCAAGATTCGGACAGGTGGAGTTAGGGACAGAGATTGGATTAATTAGATAAAAGGTTAGTCATGTTTTTTTAAAAAAGAAAACTAATCATTTTTTTATTTCACAAAGTGAAAGGTGATATTTATAACCTTTTTCTTATTCAAAATATATTTTAATTTATTAATTTTGTTTTTACAAAAAAAAATACTTCATATATAATTTAAAAAAGATAAAATATTCATTTTCTTCAAAATCAGTCAATTCTGTGTTACCTTTTTTTATTATTACAGAGTTCAATGCAATAAATAGAGTCTACCAAACATGCCCGTAAATATCAAGGTGTGCGCATAAAAAACATTCCACCTCCCAGAAAATGCATTAAAATAAAGCACCAAACATTTGCATTTCTTTAACATTCTCGCCCAAATACTAGTTTTAAACATAGGTTGTGGGGAAAATCTGCCCTCTCGCCATTGTATCCCCGCTAACACATGGGAGAATAAAAAAAATGCTTGGTGTACACCCTATGTTACACCCTAAGGTACATCCTATATGCGGAGTATAAAATCTCGAATTTACCATTCTAACCCCCCCCCCCCCCTCACTTTTGATCCATATGATTCCCTCCTCCCTCCTTCATCTTCCATTGAATCTTCCCCGTCTTCTTTTTATCTTTCTTCATCATTTTTTTAAAACCCGGTAGGCAAACAACCAAAATTGGTGGGGCAAACTCTGGGGAACGTTTGCCGGATATTATAACAAAAAAATAAACATTACAAAGTGTGAGGGGGACTATGTCAAGACCTTTGAAAGGGCATCCCCTTTCAACAATAAGAGACTAAATACAATATCAAACTCAGAAAATATAAGGAATGAACTCCTCATCAAGCTTTAAGAGCTCTTCCCAACTCATATGGAATTAAATCTCCCTTCCGCCAAGAAAAAGCCCGATGAAAGCCCAACCCAGCCACCATTTCCGGTGCTTTGTTCGATTGAGCTGGAATATAATAAAGGCCCACCCACTTCTGGCCCAAGGAGGAACTGCCCAACTCTAGAAGTTTCAAATAGGAAATATCAGCAACATAATTAGGAAACCCCAGCGACTCAGACCATTTCACCGCCTGCAGCAACACCTCTTCCCCTCCCTTCGTCGATGCGCTCAACGGAAAACCAATTGCTGCTATCATCTTCCCGACGTTTTTATTCCACTTTTCTTCATTCTTCTTTTCTTGTTGTTTTCTTTCTTTCATCATTTTCTTTCCCCTTTTCCTCATTCTTCTTTTTTCTTTCCTTTTATTCTATTCATACCCCATCTTCACCATCCATCCTCTTCACCTTTATTTTTGTCTGTGCACCGGAGAAGTAATAATGTTTGTGAGTTACCAAAAAGTCATCGGAGAGTCGCTGAAAAAATAAACTGAAATACTTGAAACATTTTGTCAAATTTTGCCATAAACAAAAATGTGTGTATACAGACACTAGTTTTCTTTAGTGTCGGTGTATACAATCAAAACATATCATAAAAAGTTAGGGTTAGGTTACTCCGAAACAAATGTTTGTGTACACAGACATTGGTTTTCGCCCACACACTCTAACATTTCTGGAAAAAAAATATGCCAATAAATGTGATTGGCACGTAAACCAATGCCAAAAAGTTCGATATTGATTTCTTTGAATTGAGACCTCTTATCTATAGATATAGAGGAGATCCGAGATGAGATGTGCCGTGAGGATCCAAAAATTCATCCATATCTCAAAGGTTCAATTGAAATGAGATTTGGACTCCATTTAATTGTACTTTTTTAGCTTGAAAATTTTCACTTGTGCAATGTATCGGTAAAACTTTCTTAATAGCATTCGTAATTATTTTCCATATATATATGGGCAGATTTTGTAATGAGATTCATTACCCTCCTCATAAGTTTAATCATGTCTCTTACTACCTACATATTTTAAAGTTTGTTACACTTTCTTTTGAGGATGCGTTTAAAAGTTTGCTATACTTTCCATTTTTGGTAATCATGTGTCAATTACCCTTACCTTTTTTTATCCACTCTTTCATATTTTTACACCATATCTACTACTTTTTATGCACGATTCATTACCACTACTACTTTCTTCCTTAAATGATGTCCCAAAATCAATGTGGGTAACAATCTTTAAAATACAGAGGGAGAGTATATTGAATCACTATTTATTATTGTGCCCAAAATAAAGAATTTAATACGGCAGTTCCATTGCTTTAAAAACTCAATTCATAATTATATTAAGTAATAATGAACAAGAATAATCCTAACTATTAGTAATCCGCTTGAAAAAATCTAAAGTATCAATTATCTCAAAATAATCTCAACTATTGAAAAATCTTCTTTAAATACTCCACTTACATGTAAATATTACTCCGCATAAGTTATTTACGGGTACTTATAAATCACCAGGGTATTTTGAGAAGATTTTTCAATAGTTGGGATTATTTTGAAATAATTGATACTTTGGATTTTTTAAGCAGATCACTAATAGTTGGGATTATTCTTGTCTATTTTTCCTTATATTGATTGAATTTTTAAGTGATCCAAATTAACTTAATTACTAACTCTTTCTCAATGGACGACCTATATCTTTCTCTTGATAAGATCAACAACCATCATAACTGGTGCAATTGAATTTCAGATTGGCTCAATAGCACTTAAAAGGGGTTCTACAAAGTCTAGAATTGTGTGGTAGCATCTAGGAGAGGGCCCAATTATAATTACAACCATTCATGTTTGGGTAATTATATACTCTAAATCATTCTTGTTTTATTCTTATTTTATAAATTAATATCAACTACACAAACTCACTTTTCGTAATAATCGTATCACATTCTTCCGTCCCAATATAAGAGGGACAGTGGTAGTATATAAGTATATAACCCCTAAATTACTATTCACATCATCAATTTAATTTAAATAAACAATAAATTACTTAAAATTATTATTTTCTTTACTTCAGCTATAAATTATACTCTACAGCCGGTTGTACGGTGAGCACCGTACAGTCGACATTTTTGTAATTAAATTCGTGCTCTGCAATTCATCAATGAAGGGAAAGACGGGAATCTAAAGCAGACGACCAAAAGCCGCCCTCTTCAACTCATTGCCAGAGAAGAACGACCAAGCTGCGCAACTCATCTGCAACTTAAACGCCTCTCATCGTCAGTCTCCTTCTCGGAACTCTCTTCCCCTACTTTCACCTAACCCTTCAGCCCTGAATCGAGATGAATCAATGCAGATTCATTCAGACTGATCCAGATGAACCGTCTCCTTCTCGGAATTCTCTTCCCCTGCCTTCCCCTAACACTTCAGCCCTGAATCCAGATGAATCGATGCAGATTCATTCATATTGGTCCTTGACAACTTCAACAAGAACTTGGTCTGTTTCAAATAATCTGAATTTGAAGTATTTTACAGATTTGTAGAATCAAATTGTTGACCGAATTGTAAAATTAGTAGCAAATACGGGGAGAATTTTTCTATTATTGATCTGCCCTTCAATGAGAAGGAAGCCAGCAATATATACAGGTTGTGGGTATCGGTGCTTTCCTTGTACCGAGTACTGCTATGCGTTTTCAAAGGAGAAAAGAAAGGAAAAATATTAATGACTAAATCTTTCCTATTCTAATTCTACAACTACGTACGTACATGCATAATAAAATGTTACAAATAAAATATGTACATAAGATAGCTAATAATAATAATAGCTAACACCCCCCTCAAGATGGAGCATGGGGGTCACAAATGCCCATCTTGCCAAGAAGATAAGAGAATTGATGAGCTCCAAGGGCTTTAGTGAGCAAGTCCGCAGGTTGGTCTGTAGTGGGTGTGTAGGAAGGTGCAATAGTCCCGGCTTGAATATGATCCCGTATAAAATGACAATCAAGCTCGATGTGTTTGGTTCGTTCATGATAAACCGGATTTGAGGCAATATGTAGTGCGGCTTGATTGTCACAAATGAGACGAACTGGACCAGACTGAGTAACGCCGAGGGAGTGAAGTAAATTTCGTAGCCAAATCAGTTCGCAGGTCAAGGATGCCATGGAACGGTATTCGGCTTCTGCCGAAGAACGAGAAACCGTGGCCTGCTTTTTGGTCCTCCATGACACAGGAGAAAATCCCAAAGATACAAAGTAACCTGTAACAGATCGACGAGTGACAAGACAACTCGCCCAGTCCGCATCACAATAACCAGTAAGGGAGAGGGATGAGTCGGATCGCAACAGTATCCCTTGTCCCGGCCGTCCTTTGAGATAGCGAAGGACACGAAGTACTGCCTCCCAGTGAGCCATCCTGGGATTTTGCATAAATTGTGACAGAATATGTACGGAGTAGCAAATGTCAGGCCTGGTCAAAGTCAAATAGATGAGTTTCCCAACCAGCCTCTGATATTGCTCGGGATCAGAAAAGTACGGGCCAGAATCCGACTGCAACCGGTGATTCTGAACCATAGGAAAATTAACCGGCTTGCATCCGGTTAGCCCCGTCTCTACCAAGATATCCAGCACATATTTGCGTTGACAAAGAAAAATTCCTGTGGAGTTCCGTGCAACCTCAATTCCAAGAAAATATTTCATGACCCCCAAATCCTTAACAGGAAAAGTGGAAGCAAGATACAATTTAAATTCATCTATCATGGTGCGATCGTTACCGGTAATTAGTAAATCATCCATGTTTATGAGCACACATATGATACGGTTATCCTTGCGTATGGTGAACAAGGAATAATCCGCATGAGATTGTGTAAAGCCATAATCTCGCAAGTAAGAAGTGATCTTAGAGAACCAACATCTCGGCGCCTGGCGAAGCCCATAGAGTGATCTAAGCAAGCGACAAACCTTACCAGTGGATGATGTGGAATACCCCGGTGGTAGATGCATGTAAACTTCTTCGTTGAGATCCCCATGAAGAAAGGCATTATCAACATCCATTTGATGCAATTCCCAATGACAAGAGGTTGCTACTGCCAAAATGGTACGTACCGTAACCATTTTAGCAACCGGAGCAAACGTCTCGCTATAATCAACGCCCTCCACCTGGCGGTTCCCGCAAACCACCAGTCGTGCCTTATAGCGCTCCACTGACCCATCACTTTTGTACTTAATCTTGTACACCCATTTGCAGTAAATGGCTTTCTTTCCGGGCGGCAAATCCTGGATTTTCCACGTACCAGTGCGCTCAAGCGCCTGAATTTCTCGAGTCATAGCTTCCCGCCATTGAGGATCACGAACTGCTTCTTTAAAATTATTTGGCTCCGTAGTCATGGAAATTGCTGCAAGAAAAGCCCTGTGCAGAACTGAAAAATGATCATATTTTATATAATGAGATAGTGAATAAGGATTACCTGAAACTGTCGTGGAACTGGGGACACTGACGGGGTGAGAGTTTATTTTAACTGTGTTTAATTGTACATCATAGTCTTGGTGCCACGTTGGTGCCTTACGTGGACGTGCTCCTCGTCGAACCTGGGTATCATCATGTGCATGCGGATCAGCACCCATGGTGGCAGTATCCGAATGCCCCAAGGTGTCAGTCATGGATGCGTGTCGTCCAGCCCCTGGTTGAGTGTCATAGCTTTCCCAATTTCCAGTTACATCATCATCTACATGCCTACGAACGTGCATTTCCCATGCATGCATGTCATTTTCTGGAGCTTTAACCATGTCCATAAGAGGTTCCCCATTCTTGAAGGGAAACTCTTGCTCAAAAAACTTTACGTCCTGGGAAACAAAGTGACATCGTTTCTCTATGTCATAAACTTTCCAACCCTTTTGTGAGTAAGCATACCCCAAAAAAACACATTTTACACCCCGAGCTGCAAATTTATCTCCGCCATTGTTTGGCTCATGCGCGTAACAAAGACAACCGAAGACCCGTAATTGACTATATACCGGAATTTTGTTATATAGCAATTCATAAGGACTTTTATTATCTATCACAGGCGAAGGTAACCGGTTGATTAAATATCCCGCAGTTAACACACATTCGCCCCAAAAATCAATAGGTAGATTTGCATGAAAACGAAGAGTTCTAGCCATTTCCAGAATATGTCTATGTTTCCGTTCTACCCTACCATTCTGTTGAGGAGTGTATACACAAGACGTTTGAAAAATAATCCCGTTAGTTGCAAAATATTCTTGAAGACCAACAAACTCCTTGCCATTGTCGCTTCTTACAACTTTCACATTTTTGTCAAATTGACGTTTAGTCATGGCAAAGAATTGTTTAAGAATATTTTTGACTTCACTCTTTTCATGCATTAAATGTACCCAAACAGCTCTAGAAAAATCATCCACTACAGTTAGGAAATAACGAGCACCACATGTAGACATAACACGATAAGGGCCCCAAACATCACAATGAATTAATTCAAATGGTTCAACAGCTCTAGCATCACTAATATCAAAAGTATCACGAGTTTGCTTGCCTCTCATACAGGCATCACAAATTTTATTTTGATCAGAATTCAACAATGGTTTATTTAAACGACCAAGCAAACGAAGTACTTTTATTGACGGGTGCCCCAACCTTGAGTGCCATAAGTCTCCTGAGTCTGAACTTCCCACAGCATGTGCTTGTGCTTGATCCAGACCTCGGAAAAAATAAACCCCCCCTCGTCGTTCACCC